GGCCAAGTCTTCACTCCAATGAGGGGCACCAGAGCCAGGGCACAAGATGCAGCCAGGAAGTCACCAGGACTGCCTGTTCGGGACCTCGGGAACACACACCAAGTTCCCCATGAAGTTCCAGTCACTGCGGGACCCAAGCAACACTGGCAAATACTGTGAGGCGGGAAGCTGGTGAGAAGGCAGGAGAAGCCAGCGGGCCTCGGCCATGAGCACTGGAGGGGGTGACTGTGGGATGCACCGAGTCCTTCCCTCTGCCCTTGCCGACGCGTGGACATTCTCATAGTACAGATTTGCAATGCCCCAAAAGTCATCTTATGCAAGGACGTTCTTTGATATGCATTAGTGGAAGGCTTTTGTGGCTATTATTGCTATTGTTACTAGCACTGTTGAGTTAAAAAACAACAACACAGATCACAGACTAACAAACTATGCTTGCCACTGGATAAGTTAGGAGACACCCTAGAAAACAGGGTGCCAGCACAGTAAGTTCTCCTTCTAGGCAGAAGAGTTAAGGGCACTATTTTATATTTTTCTATGTTGTGTAAATGTCATGTGTTAATTTATATCCTTTTTAAGATCAGAAAAAAACACATTTCACTGAGCAAAAATGTTCTTCAAGTCCAATTATAGAATACATGATAGATCTTCATGTTAGACGATGAAATAGCTGAAGAGGATGATGAGCCAGGGTGTTCTTATCCTGTAATCCCAACGCGAAGACAGGGTGCATCCCCGTAAGAGTATCGTGATAATCATGGGACAGAAATGTGCGCGCAAACAGGAAGAGACTAGAAAGACAAATTATCAAATGACTGCCTTTGCTCAATGACTACTAATTTATCTCCCCTCCAGCCCCATTTTTCTTTCCTGAACACATCCCCATGATTTAAATGAAAATCAAAGAGAAAGCTAATGTTCCAGTGACTTATGCAGGAGAGTAGGAAGGCTCTGCAGGCGGAAGCGGGTGAAGCTTCCTCCCCTCCACGCCTCCCACTGTCAGATTTCACGGAGCCGGCGGGGGGGGGGGGGGGCGAGGCTCGCACTGTGTCTGGAGAGCAGGCCAGAAGCCAGCGGGCCCAGGAGCAAAACCGCTTCCGTAATCTCAGTGGAGAGCCACCAACAGGCTCTTCCGCTACAGGTTTCAAACTTGAGGAGATGAGAAATGCAAACACACAGTCAGATATTTCAGCAAATATGCAAAGTCTCAGCCATTATGAACATATTATTTGTATACTTGAAAATTCCACAAATGTCACGCCTTGACTTTTCATGTTGAGGATGGCTCTAAGGCTGTTTTGTTCTGGGTGTGTGTGTACGTGTGTGCGTGCTCGTTTATCCCCACTTTATAGATCTATCAAATTCCCCACATGACCAGCGCTCCGCACCTCCTGACCTGCCGCTCGGTAGCTGGGCCCGGCCACATCTGCGAGGCACAAACAGGACTGAGAGCAAACGGCGGTGGAAGAGTGAATCCCCGCGCTTTGTCCTACGCTGAATGCTCTTGCCGAGCTCAGCAGATAAATATAAAACAATCGCTTGCTTCTTTCCCAGTAGCCTCGTGAGCGCATGCGCGCCAAGTCCTGCGCTGCAGTGCGGCTCCTCTTCCTTGGGCGGCTCTCGGGCTCCTTAGAAGACTGCACCTGACACAGGTGGGCGGGACAGCTGGCTGGACTTCCTTAGCCTGATAAACCTATTGCAGTCTCCTAACACAGTCATTTTCATCATTCACTAAACTGTCTTAAAGTCACGAGCCGTGAGAAGCGGAAATGTGCGTGCTCCTCTGAAGGAGAACCGCAGGCAGACCTGGAGGGTGCTGTTCTCTCCCGACTCTCGGAAAACTCCTGTACAGTCCCTCGGTATCTGTCTGCACCGAGGAAACAAGGAGCCGTGGCTCAGGCTGGAGACAGAGGGCTGACTCGGCGCCTCTTTCTGCTCACTCCGGTCCCAGCACACACGCTCGCCCTGTGCAGGCGGACCTCGGCGTCAGAGGCAGGACCCGCTTTCCCGCTCGCGCACGGGTGCGACTTCTGTCCGCTTGATTACTTTCTGGGCAGCGTTTTCTTTTAAATGCTGAAAAGAACTAATCCAGCACGGATGCAGAGGGCGCCAGCTCTGCAGGGTGGAAGGGCAGAGATCACAGCCACATCAGGGACATGAGCTGAGCCCGGCCCGCTTGAGGTACTGCGTGTTCCGGCCTCGCTGGTCTCACACGCAGCGCTGGTGAGAAGAGGTCCTGGCGTCTTCGGAGGAGCTGGCACTACGCCTGTCACTCGGTGCAGCAACTGAGCCAGGCGACGCTGACGCCCCAGCGCTCCCGCTCCAGGAGGGGCCCTGAAGGCTGCACCACTGTCACCCAAGAGCCGCCCATCTGAGGGTTCAGATGCCCGGCCTCCTGCTCACTATCTAGGCCAACAGAGCCGTTAACACCAATACTTCTAACCCCAGCACTCAGGAGGCTGAAGCAGGAGGATCCCCATGAGTTTGAGGTCAGCCTGGCTACATAGTGAGTTCGAGGCCAGCCTAAACGACACAGGAGACTCTGTCTCAAAAAATCAAAACCCAAAACTAAAACATAAAAGGCAAGGAGGAAATGCGAAATACTGTAAGATTGAATTAGAAATTGCAATTTGAACTCATAGTTCTAAATGTACTTTTCCTAACTCTGCCTAATACCTTTGCAGTACCTGAACATCACCCCCACAAGGAAAGCAGGCTCTTTGCAGAGGGGGTGACTTTCAGGTCTTGGAAGTGAAAGTATGATCTGACTCTGAGACCTGATGCCAAAAACCAAGGAACTGCCCAAACTCTGAAGGAGTCACATCACAAAGAACAGGAACAACTTGAAGAGGAGCTCACTTGCCAAATTTGAGATGATTTGAGTGTGAGAGAGAATAACGATTACAGCTGACAAAGGAGTTTAGCAGTGTCAGGATATAAGATCAATATACAAAAGCCAGCTGTAGGCCGGGGATTTAGCTCAGTGGTTTCGCCGCCTGCTGCGCAAGCGCAAGGACCCAAATTCGATCCCTGGTACAAAAGAAAAAAAAGCCAGCTGTATTTCTATACACCAGCAATGAAAAATCTAAAAATGGAATCAGGAAAACAGTTGCACTTACAATAGCATCAGGAGAATAAAATATCCTTAGGAACACTTTTTAAAGTAGTTGAAGGCTTAAACACTGAACACTGTAGTGGGGCCATCCTGAGTTCCTTTCAGCTCCACAACATGCCCTTCCAATACACAGGCTCGGGGTTTTAAATCTGTTTTTTGTAAGCCATACTGGATTTTAGATATGAAGGTTGGTCTTAATTCACTGTTTTGTTTTTAAATTCAGTTGTAAGTACATTGGATCTTCTCTGCCTTCTTCAGCTGTTATTTTCTCTTTTCTCTGTTTCTTTTCTTTTTTTTTTTTTTTGTATTTCAGGCTGGCCCCAAACTCACTATGTAGCCCAGGATGGCCTCAAAGCAATCCTCCTCCCTCTGCCTCCTGAGTGTTGGGATTACAGGTGTGCGCCACCATGCCCAACTATGGCTGTTATTTTCTTCCTGAGCTTTTCCTGGCTGATTCCACACCTTTTGGTTCTGCGTCCACTTCCACTGTGCTTGGGTGAATCTCAGATTCGCAGTGATTCTTCATCAGGTCAGTGCCTGCCTCCTCCTGTGTGATTCGTGTTAAAGTATTGGACTGCAGTTCCTCTGCTTTCACCCACTGAAGAATTTTGATTCTCAATTTATTTCTTTTGCTGCTTTTTGGAGTTTTTCCATGTCTTTCTTCAGACGGGGTTGGGGGACTTGTGCAGCTTATTAGGTCTCTTACCTCCAGAGCACCCTCTGCAGTTGGGGTACAGAAGTACATTTCGTGATGAACAGCATCTTTTCTTTTAGGGGTGGTGCACGGGAAAGTTGTGTGTTTTAGATTTCATGAAACCCTCACAAATTGCAGCAGTTGTCTTCTATTACATATGTGTATATGCAATACACACACACGTGCAAACACATGGTTCACGTGGGTGTCCTCGGGCACAGGTGTGGTTTTCAGCTCGTCCCTGGACTCCACATTTCCACAGACAAAACAAATTTGGAATTTAACACACACACTCACCACCAGGAGGAAGAACGCAGGTGACTTAAACAGGCAGTGCTGCCTGCTAGTTACACAGATTTCTGCCTCTGCATTCTGTTGTTGTCACAGCTGGAAATCCTTCCCTCCAACCCTATATGCCCGACCTCTCGCTTCATAGGCGACCAACCTCCCAGACCCTCGCTCCCTCTTCCTGTGTCCTCTAATCTGGAAATCCCAAATCAGTCTAGATAGATCTGTTAGAGCCAGGCAAGTGGTGCACACACTCACTCCTCCCAGCACACACTCTGCCCGGCACACACGCACACTGCCCATTTGACCCCATCCCCTTCCTTCAGGTTCTTCCCAGCATCCTTCGCTCAGGATGAACTCCCAGTCACATGGAGGCATCCAGCATGCTCATCTCCTGGCTGAAGCGGGTCGAGGGCACCCTGGACAGCTGCTGCCCCTGTCCCTGGAACCTGCAGGGCTCACGGAGACCAGGCTGCCGGGCCTCAGGGACCAGTCTGCTCTGGCTGCTGGGTTGTGGCACCAGATGCGACCGGGGTCTCCGGGGCCTACAGAAGCCCGTTTCTGTTCTCAGGCACACGATATGTCCACCATAGACTGGCTGCCTGAACTACAGTGAGACCCCAGCTGAAAAAGTCAATCAATCAAATTAAACTTGTAGCAGATGGAGCGCGGTGAGCCCGGTGGCTCAGGATGCAGCAAACAAAGGGAATCGCGGATCAGGACTCTTGGTCAGAACCTGGCTTTGCCACCAACTGTCACTGAACCCAGATGGCACCGCTTCTGCATCTCATCTGCGAGCCAGAGACAAGTGTGGGTCACAGACAGGCTGGTGTGTAGCCCTACTGTAAAAATTCACATTCACTGCCAACTATGAACAGCTGTACAAACACTAACTGCACGGACTAGTTGTAAGCAGAAGAAAAAACTTTATTTCTATCAAATTGAAAAGTAGGAATCAACCTTTAAACCAGATAATCAAAACAATCATACAATTAACAGTGAGGACAGAGGACAGACGACAGGTTGAGGCTTTGAATTAATAAGCACAGAATCAAAGGGCACTGCTGTCATGCAGAGGGGGGCTCTGGTGCATTGTAAACTCGGGGCTCCAGGGAAGCTGCATCTCACAGGACAATAAACCCCGTTCGGGGGTCACTGGGCCACAAGACCGGCGTGAGCTTGGAGCCAGGGTCACAGTGAAAAGCCACGGAAACTCAGCAGTGTGTCCAGAGATCTGCCCACCTCCGAAGCAGGTGTATGAAAAGTCAGTAGCACAAATTCACATAAAACTAGAAGAGCGCTGAGCCCAATACTCCTTGAGCTAACTTCAACACTGAGTCCCCATTTTTCTTCCCTTTTCTCTACATACAAAATGGCTTGTACCGGGGGGAACCTGAAGGCAGGGTGCTCCTCTGAGAAGCTTTCTACAGGAAATCTTTTACTTCAAGAGCCTGATGGTCACCAGAGGATGGAGTTCACATCCGTGCCAAATCCACGCACAGCTTCAGCCCTCAGGAAAGGCCCCATCCCTCACACACCACACATACGGGGTGACCAAACTCAGGGACATCCCAAAGCATACAAATAATGGCATTTATTCCAGCAAGAATTGTGCAATAGGTACAAGAAAGATAAGGTCTGGCACTGGTGAATCACTTGAATCTTAATGCCTCGGCAGACGCAGGGAGCTGTTGAAAAGCAGCCTAACGGTCTGGCCATGCCTGCCTTGCATCCTCCTCTGGAAGCCAGGCTGCATCGGTGACATGTGGGAGAGAGTGACAGTTTATGAGCAGACCACACGCTCACATTCAAGAAACGTTCAACACCGGGTTCTTCTTTGGAGTTGGCAAGGGCACCAAGGAGCCACTAAAACTGGAAGCAGATTAAGAAAGCAACTCCGACTCTGAACAATGGTCTCTCCCTTGGAGCCGCCCTCTGCCAAAGACCTTGTGTTACACAGAGGGGCAGAGGTGAACTCCACCAGGTGAGCGCAGACACCCCAGACGCTCGCCAGCAGGGTGCAGGGGAGACGCGGGCCCGTCTCTACAGCCCGCACTACCACTGGTGCCGACACTGGAGGTGGAGAGCCAGGCCGGCAGACAGGCGCAGGTGCGTGCTCGGGAAGCTCCATCCAACCAGGGAACAGGAGAGAAAGGGAGTCTGGAATCTCCTCGTGAATCCTCACAGTTGTGGGAAGCCGGTGTTCAAATAAACAGGGTTATTTCGGTGTCTAAATCCAAGGCCATGCGGTCACTGGGGTAATGTCCACAGCACTGGGCTGCTGCTCACCATGTCACGAGGTGACGCCCGACGGAGGATCTACCAAGGACGCCCCCTCTTTTGTGCACAGGGAGTATTGGCCCTGCAGGCTTCTCCTCCTCAGACACACAGCCAATGTCCAACACTGAGCTTGGGTTACAGTGAAGTAAATTTTATCAGAACCCTATTCACAGGTCGGTGCAGGCATCTTCCTACCTAAAACGGTCCCACCTCAGCAGCTCAAGCGGCAGAAAGAGGCCTGCAGCGGCAGCACCCCTCAACCACCCCTGCCTGAGCTCCCTCTGCCAGCCAGGGGCTGTGGTGAGGCCAGCACCAACCGCAGCTGAGCTGAGTTGTGGGAAGCAGCGGCTGTGACCGGGGAGCAAGTCCCTCTCGAGCCCGGGCTCGGAGTGAGAAGTGGAGGGGCAGGGGGAGAACTGGCACTCAGAACCGTGTGGCCACACAATGGGTACAGGGACGAGGGCACAGAAGGCAAAGGGCACCCAAGGGAGGCGCTGGAGATGGCGCTTGCGCTTCCCAGGATTCACCCTGCATTGGGGCCTTGCTGGGGTCGGAGCCAGGCGGGAATTTCTTCTGGCCTCAAGGAGGAAAAGCGGCTGTGTCCGGGCAGCTTCCAGGCCAAGGTGCAGGCGGCACAGACAGGGCCGGCTCAAGGCCAAAGGCTCCCCCAGGGTCACAGCCCGAGGACATCAGAGGCCAGGCAAGGCCCACACCCGGCTGCTTCTGCGGCCTTGCTCTACACACAGGAGGACTCGGGAGGGGCGAGAGCTCAGCCTCCTCTAGCAGCTTCCTCTGCGTCAGGCAAGAGGAAAGGAATGGACTTGTCACTTTAGCAGCCTCTGCTGGCCTGGGATGCAGCCCCAGGGAGAAGGGAGCCACTCAGGCCCTGGGGTTGCAAGGGGCAAGACTTGGGGAGCTCACTTCCGGGAAGGGGCAGGCTTCGCAGAGACATCCAACTGAAGGGAAAAGAAAGAGGCTCCTTCAGTTTTACTTCTGTCAAACTATTTCCATGAATTATGTTCACGTTAAGAGAATACTAGTGAGTTAAAAGAGAAAAACCAAAAATACTTGTTTTTTCTTAGGCCACTGAATGTGACCATCGCCTATTCAAAGCCTGGGTCTCAGCCCCAGCGGACACTGCTGAAACTCTGCCTGACCGGAAGTGGCCACGATCATGTGTTCCACGGAAGGGAGGAAAGACCGGTGCAGAGTACATGGCCCAGATTCAGCTGTCTCCCCCATCACTGCCCCAAGTCCTAAAGGCAATCATTCCGTTAGAAGGCAGGGAGGACGGTTCTACTCCCCAGAGCACACGCTCTCCTCTTAATAGCCCATCATAACTTTAACTCTGCTTTTCCTACTTTGGGAACGTCCTCTCCATGGCAACGCTGACCTGTGCAATATCCCCGAGTTGCTCTCTACCTGGTTCCGCAGAAACCCTGAGCTTATCTATGAGTGCCAAGGAGCATTCACGAGAAGGAATGCGGGGAGAGCACTGGCCAGGTGGGCAGCCGGAAGGGGGAGGGTGGCCACACTGGCGTCCAGAATGCATATGGCGGGGGCAGCCAGTGCTGGGCACTGCAGGCGGAATGTGCACGCCAACACCACTGCAGGCGGAAACAGGCTTCTTGTTAGCTCCCTAGTACAAGAGTCAAAAGGAATTCACTCCCAGGAAGAGCAAAGGATGCCCTGGGGACAGGCACGGGGCATGCAGGGCATACACACTCGTAAGGCAGCAGGAACCATGTCAAGGTTCGTCCCAGAGGAGACCAAGGGCGCAGGTGGTGGCCAGAACCAGGAACGCCTTTTAACAAACAGCTGGTGGGATGACAAGGCGTTAGTGTCTGCATTTCTAGACCTCATAGCCACCCACAGACCGCATCTTTGGAATATAGGAGAAAAGAAAAAGACTTTGTCTCCCCATAATGGCAAAGCTGTCGTCAGCCTAGCCAATGCGACATCTTCCTCCACCCGGGGCTTCAGCGCCTTGAGTACCGCCTGGTGATGCGCTGCAGTCACCCTGGGAGGGCACCCAGGTGTGTCAGCTGGGTCAGAATCCATTTTGCTGTCTGCAACAAAGAGCTCAACTATCCTACGCATCCCATAATCCCACAGTCTGACTACTTCTGTCCATAGATGCGATGATCTTGTAGCATTTCTGTATGTATTTCCCATGATTCTGAAAACTCGCAGACTATGGGGGTCTAATTTTCTCACAATAAGAGGAGGAGAGCGGGTGGGAGAGTCAGGCAGCCATGGAGATGAAGGTGCACTGCAGGCTCAGCTTCCGGGCTTGGAGATTCCTGGGGTTCCCACCCCAGGTCACAGGAAGAGAGGGACAGAGGCAGGAAGTACCTGCGTGTCACTGCCTAGAGCTGCCCCAGGTAGGCCGAGGGAAACGGATGGAAAGACTTCGGCCGGTGGAAGCCAATCCCTCGTCCCGGGTGTCTGAGAGGGGGTCCCTGGAGCCGGAGCAGGGAGTGGGCATCGCTGCTCCTGAAGCATCAGTGACAGCCGCTGCTTGGGAACCCCGCAATGACAGCGGCCGGCTTCCATGTCACAGGGGCACAGGGTGGACAGTGGGGACAGGGCCCGGGCCAGCAGGCCTCTCCCGGGCTCTTACGCTTGCTGGTTCTCCCTTCGGGTCACCCTGTTTGGTCCTGGCCAGCTGCTCAGGTGGCCAGAGAAGGCGCAGGTTGGGGGCTCCCACCTGCCCCGGCCTCAGTTGGCTTCTCTGGACTGGAGAGGCGCCAGCTTGTTGGAGAAAAGGGTGTAAACGTAAGGCCAGATCTTGTTCGTCTCTGTCCCTGAAAACTGGTGCAGCACCCCGCGGCTCCTGAAAGACAAGTCGACAGACACGGGTGTCTTAGGTTCCCTCCAAGCAGGAGCTGGGACAGGAGGATCGCGCCAAGGCCAAACGCCACTGGGGCCCCTGCCACACATCACCACGCGCCCCAAAAGCATCCCTGAGGAGAGGACACGGCCACGGCACCAGCCCGTGCTCCCTTGGAGAGGGTGGCGGGCAGGGACCCTGCATCTGGCTCCAACGCCCTTCCCAACACTGCCGAGCTTGGGGCCCTGACTTCCCCCAGCAGCGACCGCTCATGGGACCCAGGCTGTCACAGGGCTCAAGGGCTGCGAAACCTGGAGCCTCAGCGACCCGGGCTGCACTGTGCTCCCCAACACCATGTGAGTGGGGGTCTCGCTGCCCGAGCATCGCTTAAAATGTTTCACTCACAGGGAACATAAAAACTGAGGGATTTTCCCCACAGAGAAAATCAGGTTTTTGTTTGCCCTGGAAAACAGGAACCCTCTGCCCACGGGTCACCAGCTCCATCAGCCTAGAGCTGGGGACCCCACCTTCCTGCACCTGCCGGCCTCGGCCCCCGCCAGGACCAGGCCACCAGGCGTGCGGTGCCCCCACCCGAGCCCCTGCCCCACTCCCGTGGCCGTGGGCGGCCTTCTCCAGACTCCCCGGGGCCATGCCCAGGCCTCGGCCGCTCTCACATCCGGAGGAGCAGGGACCTCGGCTCGACTCCTGACAGAAGGATGGCAAGAAGAGGGCCGGGCCCACACAAGGGCCTGGGTTCAAACCCTGGCCCTGGCAGAGAGAACGGGGAGGGTGGGGAAGCAAATCTAGGCGCAGCCTCACATGCAGAGCGCACACTGAGGGTCCGGCTCGCTGGGCCCTAGCCTCACCCACGCACCTGGCCCGAGCCGCCCACGGGGCTGAAGCCACCCGCAGCACCCATGCCCCTCTTCCGCTCGGCCGCTGCTCACCGGTACAGCTCCATGACCGGTTTTGCCGCATCCTTGTACCGCCGAAGCCGGGCGGCCACCGCCTCAGGCCTGTCGTGCTCCTGCTGCACCAGCGGCTCCCCCGTGACGTCATCCACGCCCTGCAATGCCCAGGACAGTGGACATGGCCACCGGCCAGGCCAGGCCAGGCCTTTCCTGCCAGCACCTCGCCTCCTGCCCCACGTGCAAAGAGCAAGGAGAGTGGAGACACAGAGGCCTCCCCTCGAGGAGACTCCATTCCAGACACCTGACCCAGATCTCTGCCGTCAGGCTCTCTGGTGAACTGCACTTCAGTTCCGCCTGAACTTCCTGCAACCTCCGCAACAGCAAACCCATGTACGAGGTCACCCTAGCCCAGAAATAGTTACCAAACTCCCTTCCTTTCTAAACCCTGACTTCTTAGCACTGGGGAGGCTGAGGCAGGAGGTTCCCCATCAGCTTGAGGCCAGCCTGGACTACACAGTGAGTGCAAGGCCAGCTTGAACTACACAGCAAGACTCTGCTTCAAAACCACAAAAATATAAATAAATAAATAAGTAAATCTGAGTTCTTAAAATAGAAAATACAATGTCTTGGCCAGGGATTTACCTCAGTGGCACTGCGCCTGCCTTGCAAGCACAAGGGCCTGAGTTCTATCCCCAGTACCAAAAAAACTAGCAACAGAAAATACAATGTCTTAAAGAATTTGTTTCAGTAAGGAAAATTACTAACATAGGAGAAAACACTCAGTCACAGGGTCACCAGAGTGTGCCCTCACATACCCAGACATCTCTGCCCGGTGTGCGCGGCCACAGGGGTACGGAAGGCCCCGTGTGACCTGCGCATCCCCTGGTGGGGCCTGCCTTCCAGCTGCATGCTCGGAAGTCACTTCAAGGACCTCAGCTACCAGCAGAAACAGGGGTGGACACCAGGGCCGCCATGCCCCTGCCAGGGGATGCCCTGGGGTGTACGGCCCCTGCCCTGCTGTCCTCGCAGGCAGCCCTGGAGCTCCAGGCATTCTTCCAGGGGAAACTGGGCTTTGGAAATGTCTTGCAGTAAAGCTTTCCAAATTTTCTAAGAACCTCTGAGCCAGGCTGAGGCAGGAGGATCGGTGTGGGCTCTAGGCCCGGGCTACACAGCGAGATCCCATCTCTGGAATTCCTGAGTGAATGAATGAATGAATGAAGAGTCTAGGAAGAAAATTACAAAATTACTGTTTTCATTCTGGTTTTGAAACAGGGTCTAGCACATGGTTCAGGCTGGCCTGAACTCACTGCGATCTTCCCCCAGGGTTACAGGGGAGCACAACCACACAGGCCCCAAGCCTTAATACCTTTAAGGTGCGCTTTGCCACGGGGCTCTCAAAAGCAGAGCTGCATTTTCCCCGAGTCCCCCTCAGCAACAGATGTGACATTTGTTTATTTTAAACGTGCCCCCGCCAGTGAGGCCACCTAACATCCTCTTTTCACAACTTCCCTCCGACCACTCCCAAACTTGGGCTCTTGTTTCCTTGGGCGACCCCCACCCGCCAACCTGCCCTGCTCCTGCTGTGCGCCTGGCTCACCGGGACGAGTGGAGGGTTGAAGTCCAGGTTGTAGACGCGGCCACTGGGCAGGTGAATCCAGCGGCGGCTGAGCCTGTCCTTCAGGGTCTCGAAGGGGATGTTCAGGCTGACCACCAGGTCCAGGTTGCAGACCTTGTCCAGGGCCTCGGCCTGCCCCAGTGTCCTCGGGAAACCTGGGCACCAAAAGACACGTCACACCCAGGACGCTGCCTGCCCGAAACAGTTCCAGGGCAGGGTGATCACGCCGGAAGTGACCCAAGAGGGACCCTGAGCTGCGATGCCGTCTACCTCGGCACTGCACTGTTAGAAGGAAACAGCCAACTTTAGAACTCAGCTCTGCGTTTGGAAAGCTCAGGGCTCAGCGAGGCTCCGGATAGGAGGAAGAACGCCTCGCTGAGAGTCATGAAACCCACCTGGGGCTTCTCTTTTGTGAGGTAATCTGCACCCAGACAATTCCCCGCTCACTGATGGGTACAGTGAAGTCCCACGGGTGCACACAGAACCTCAGAGGTGACCCTGTGACAGCCCCACCCAGTGTTCTAGAACTCTGGGAGGCTGAGGCAGGAGGATTGCAAGCACTAGCTCAGAAAGGGCGAAGTAGCAACTTAGTGAAACTCTGTCTCAAAATAAAATACATCTCTACAGATAAAAGGGCTGGACGTAGCTCAGTGCAAAGGCTCGGGGTCCAGTCCCCACGCCAAGGGGTCACGGACGTTCAGAGCTCAGTACCTCAGCGTTTTCGGGGTTGCAGGTGTAGCTCGTAAGTACAGTGCGCATCTAGTGCTGCGGGACCCTGGGTTTGAGGCTCGGAGCCACAAAAGCAGAAACAAAGAAACAAAGCCAGGCATTTCTGAACTTTACCGGGCAGTGCTGGCCCCGGTCAATGAGCCCTCCGGAGGGGAGGGCGGCCCTGGGCGGGAAACCCTGCCCGGGGCTGCACTGAGCTCGGCGTGCAGCGGGGTCCGGGACTCACCCGCAAGCGCGCGCAGCTAAGCACAGGCACGGCCTCCGGGCGCTGCCCCAGCCTCCGCCTCCTCCCGCCGCACCCGGAGCTCGGGCCACATGCGCGCCCACCCCACGTGCGGCCAACAGGGGGCGGCGGCCACGCTTCTCCACGCTCGGGCAGGAAGCAGAGAAGCCGGGCTCAGGTGCGGCGAAGATCGCTTTACAATCGGAAGCTTCGTTCCTCCCTGGCGCTGCGCAGAGGGGACGGCTCTGTGGCCCCTCGTCGGGAACACAGAACGTTAGGCCGGGGGGGGGGGCGCACGGCTGTAAACCCACTACTCTGGGAGGCTGAGGCAGAAGGATCCCAAATTCAAGCGCAGCCTAGGCAATTTAGCAAGACTCCGTCTCAAAACAAATACAAATGGGCTGGAGATATAGTCCAGTGCGGGGGCCCTTGGTTAGAGCCCCAGTACTGCAAATAAATCCCTACCTCTCCTTCCACACAAGCTACTCCTCCCGCGCCCCCTAAGCCCTGCTGTCTGCGCGGTGCACGCCAACAGCCCGAAAGCTGGAAGGGCGCGGCTGAGCTGCCCGCGGCATCCGCAAGGTGGCGCCGGCGGCTCCGGCTTAGGCCCCAGCAGCTCCCCTGTGCAGTCCCGCACTGCAGCTGCGTGCCGGCAGCGCCGACCCCTGGGCCTTGGCACCTGCTCCTCTCTGCTTGCGCCAGGAGCCGCTGAGACACCGGTGTCTCCACAAGGGCCAAGGCTGGAAGGCGGCAGGAGGCCAAGGCGACCGCGCCTGGGATGGTGGCCGAGCCGCCAGATGGGTCACTGAAGCGGAAGCCGGCCCAGGGGCTCCGGTCCACACACGGGGCCTGGCGTGAGCTCTGATGAGCCGCGTCAGAACTCCGCCGAGGCCCCCTACGTCTACAGATGCTGTCGTTGCTACAAGGCCTCGCTCCTCTGCCCTGTTTGTACAACGGGATGGTGAGGGTCAGAAACAGCTGAGCTCCGGATGCTGGCTGCAGAGCCCCAGGCTGCGCATTCCCGCTGTGCCGAGCGCTCTGGGTCCCCCTGCTGGCTGGGGCTTCAGGATGCACAGGGGACCTGGTATTGGGGTCCCCTTAGTGATTAACAGGAAAGAACTTTAAAATCCTAGATGTCCTCTAATCGTCACTTATTCCTTCACTGATAAACAAGACTCAGACTCCAAAAACTGGTTTTAAAACCACAGGTTAAACCAGGTGTGGCCTGTAATCCCAGCACTTGGGAGGCTGAGGCAGGAGGGTTGCTGTGAGTTCAAGGCCACCCTGAACTACACAGCAAGACCCTGTCTCAAAGAAACTCACAAACCAACCGACCAACAAATAAAAAGTCCCACAATGCTGCCTTTTCAAAGTGGTTTTGTAGGCTGGGCATGATGACATACGCCTGTAATCCCACCTGGGAGGCTGAGGCAGGAAGGTCACTGTGAGTCAGAGGCCATCCTGGGGTGCACCGTGAGACCCTGTCTCAAAAAACAACAGAAAAAGTGGCTTTGCAAAATGAAAGGTGAATTCCTCCTGAGCAGGAGTGTGGGAGAGGGCAGCAGCCAGCTCCCCCAGCGAGGCTGAGGACCCTGAGACCCCTCCCGCCTCTCCCCCGCTGCTTCCCATCCCCGAGGGTGTCGGGCAGGTGGGCGAGGTGGAGACCTGTCCCAGGCACGGCGGGGGGGGGGGGGGGAGGCCTCCAGGGCAGCAGCCCACACGGGCGGAGGCCCCGGCGCAGCTGAGGAGCACAAAGCCCTGGCCTCTCCTCCCGGACCACTGGGCTGAGCATGCCCGGATGGAGGCAGAGCACGGAAAGACAACAAACGTCTGTAAGTCACACTAATACCCAGCACAACTGGCATTCTTCACTTAGAAACGCTGGGCTGGGCTGTGGCTCAGGGGAACAGCGCTTTTCTGGTGTAAGTGAGGCCCTGGGTTTGGTCCCTTGTACTGGAGGAAAAAGATTGGCGTATGATTGTGTGAGGCGGGCGCGGTGGCACTCGCCTGTAATCCCAGCGCCGGGAAGCTGAGGCGGGAGATGAGGTGAGTTGGAGGCCAGCCCAGGCTACACAGTGAGTTCCAGGCCAGCCTAAACCACGCAGGGAGACTGTGTCTCAAAAATAACGAAAAAGGGCCGGGGATTTAGCTCACTGGTTTCGTCGCCTGCTGTGCACGGACCAGAGTTTGATTCCCGGTACCAAAAAAAAAAAAAGCCAACACCAAAATAGTGTTATTTACTTCAAGTATAAAGAAATAATTCTTCATAAAGTCTACACAGGGAGAGAAATCTCTTCAACAAAGAGAGTGAAACCAGCCATGGGCTTCAAACCAAGAGCCTGGCCAGGACAGGCAGCAAGGACCGCCCTGGGAACAGGAAGTCCTGGCCACAGCCCTCCTGGGCCCTTCCTCATGCAAGAAGGAGAGAGGGAGGGAAACCAGCAACAAAATCCAACTAACAAATTGTGCTAAACAGCCATGCATGCCACTCAGACACAGTGTGCACGCGACACCATGGCTGTAAGTGCACAATGCCTGGGCACCTGTAATCCTAGCATGCTGGGAGGCTGAGGCAGGAGGATCTGAGTCTAAACCCAGTTTAGGCAACTTAGTTATCAGTGACACCTGGTCTCAAAATAAAAAATAAAATAGCTGGGGATTCAGCTCAGTGGTGCTGCCACCTGCCCTGCAAGCGCAAGGTCCTGAGTTCAATCCCCACTACCAAAAAATAAAACAAAATAAAGGGCTGGAAATGTAGCTCAGTGTGAAGGCCTTGGATTCAATGTCTAGTAATCAAACGAAAGTGTAAATTCAATAGTTTCTGGTATATTCAAAGTACCAAGAGATGGAGGGAGGATAGAGGGAAGGGAGAGAAAGACACAAAGCGCTAAGCTGTCTTAGGTGCCCGCACCACTCCCCATGAAGAATGTGACCATCACATATGACAAACGTGGGCAACGCAAAAAAACAAAACCCAAATAGCAACAACCACCCAAGAAAAAAGATTAATCAAAATAAAATGTATAGGTAGGTAAGAGAATACACAGAATTCTACATATGAAACAAAAACTGGGGAACTGTCTAGAAAAACTGTAATAATCATTAATAACAAAAGCCAAGCAGGGGACTCTCCCAGCCAGACTTGCCCTCGGCAGAGAAGGTCACCAGGACCAATTCCTTCGGGCTCACTTCAGTTTTGCTGGTGTTGTTACATTTGACATTAAACCCTTTGTCTGTTTTTGAGACAGGCTCTCGTTGTGCAGCCCAGGCTGGCCTCCAACTCTCCGTGATCCTCCTGCCTCGGCCTCCCAAGGGCTGGGATCACAGGCGTGTGCCATGACACCCAGCTAATATTTTATTATCAAACTGGCAAAGTGTACCTCAGACGCCACGGACATAGCTTGGCACTGAATTTTAAGCCATCCAGTCCGGAGAGCCACTGTGTAAGCCAGAGCAGCAGGTTCTCCTGGCCTCTCAACTCCAAGGGTGAAGAGAGTTCCATCCTGTGCCTGACTCCGGGGCTCCAACTGAGCAGCACGAGGCCCAGGGCACCTGACCAATGTGATAAGAAACAGCAAATGTGGACAGACCATAGTTCAATGTCTGAAGTCAATTTTTAAATGTTAGAAAGTTCAAAACTAAGTTGTTCGTGCTGGTTGTGGTGGCAGACACTTGAAATCCCAGCACTCAGGAAGCTGAGGCAGGAGGATCACGGAGTTAATGAGACCCGGTCTCACAAAACAAACAAAAAAAGTTGCTCATGTTTGTGTCCAACACAGTTTATATTTTATTTCCAACTTTCCTCTTATTTTTAATATGAACTTGACTTGAACGCTGCTGAAGTTTCAGGAGAGTTCGGCTCTCCAGTGTTGGCCTGTGTGTCACTGCACAGCCCTGTTCTCTGCCGGCCCCCCGGGAGCTGTGCCCTGCACCCCAAACCCATGCCCCAGCCCCTCACTGGCTGTCCATGCCCATCGGGATCCTGCACACCCGTGTCCCATGAGGGGGCCCCCAAGCAACAGGGAGACTGCAGAGCGAGGCCAAGCCAGGAGGGGAGGGGCAGGGCGCGCAGGCCTGGACTCGGCACCTTCGGCTGGAAGAGGGGCTCCAGCAGCTTCCATGGAAAAGTGCCCTCGCTTTACAGCCAGGCGTGGAGCCTCAGGAGGCTGAGGTAGGAGGATCGCTGTGAGTTCAAGGCCAGCCTGGCTACACAGTGAGTTCACGGCCGGGCGGACTGAACTGCATAGTGAGACCCTGCCTCAAAAAAAAAAAAAACAGAAAAAGAAAAGAAAGAAAAGCAAACCCTGCTGCCCGAAGTGCCAGGGCTGGGCCGTTATGCCCACCCCGGACATCCGACCTGGCAGGTGATGCCCTTCAGATTAAATGCGTCACAGTTTCGGGCCTCTCCACACCCGCCTGGCAGTGATCTCTCTGCCGAACGGCCGGCGTCCGTTTACAAGCTGCCACCTGGGCTCCCTCTATGTTCCTGTCGTCCACCTACCCCAGTGAATCACGAATCTGCTCTAATTCATTATCCAACTGGACAGCTATTTGAGGATGGCCTATGCTTCATGACAGCTCAGAAAGTATAATCCAACAGGTCCTGGGTTTTATTATTTCTTCTTCTAAAATAATTGAAATTGTTGAAGCTATTTTAAAACCAAAATGCAAATCCGGGTGTGATGGCGCACACCTGTGATCCCAGGGCTTGGGAGGCTGAGCCAGGAGGACCACTCTTAGTTTGAGACCAGCCTGGGCTACACAGTGACACCCTGACTCAAATAACAAACAAACAGAAATCAAACCACAAATGCAGCATTCCGCAGGAGACTTTGATGGCTACCTGGCTACAGAAACAATTGTTTGCTCGCTTGAGACAAGATCTCTCTTTGTAATTCAGCCTGGCCTTGAACTCACTATGCAGCCCAAAATGACCTCAAACTCACAGTGATCCTCCTGCCTCAGCCTCCCGAGTGCTGGGATTACTGGCATTATCCATTTTACTCTTGAAACATACCAAACATTTACGAGAGCAACAGAAAAGCACTGCCCTGGGCATTTCCTAAAAGATGCAACGGACAATGTACTGTGGGTTTTCGGGAGACCTACGCCGTCCCCGGGGGGACGCCAGAGACGTCCGCTTCAAGGGACAGAGGGGCAGGGCTGAGTCGGGGCTGCCGCTGGGGCAGCCGGCACCAACCCTGGTCTCGGACTGCGCATGCTCCGGCAGCAAGGCCCCCGAAGAGCTGGTGGGTCCAGCCCTGCCCACACCGAGACGCGACTGCAGCTGCTCCTAGATTCTCTTCGTCTCCCGGCGGGAGGCTTCAGTGACGCTCCATCCACCATTTCAGCATGGGCCCCCGGGACTCGGGAGGATGAGGCGGGAGGATGAGGCAGGAGCATGGCTCTGAGTCTGAGATCAGCCTGGGCTGCAAGTGAGACCCTGTCTCAGAAGAAAAGAAAGAACAGAAGAGAGAAAGCCCCTCTCCCTCCTCCTGCACACGCGCGCACGCACCTCCACACACGCACGCACGCGCGGGTCCAGTGCTGAGCTTTGCAGTGAGGGCTGCGCTGGCTATGTACCCTGGACCCCACGCCTCGGCCTCCGCACAGCCCTTGGCGCAGGGGCGTCATCTGTCACCAGAGCCTGGGGCCCACACGGGCTTGGTGCCCGGACAGCAGGCCTGGCCCTGAGCCAGAGACAGCTCTCTCGCACCGCCAGATGGACGTGCAGGGCCTGCGGGGGTCGGGAGGGGCGGACAGCCCTGCTGGGCCAGACAGGAGCAGCTCCGGTGGGACACAGCTGCCCGCCACCCACGCCAGGCCCAGGGCTGGGGACAGCGCCCGGCCGCACCCGCTGAGCCTCTGGGGACACAGACACCCTGCACACACACCCTCCTTCCTAACCCACCCCCGGGAGAAATCGGGCGCAGAGCAGGCAGGCACCCTGCCCAAGGCCACACAGCCAGGAAGCCCAGAGCTGGGAGTCAAATCCCAGCCCCGAGCCAGGGCCCAGGCCTCTCCAAGAGTTAACAAGGTGGCCCCTCCGCAGTGCAGACAGTCAAGTTCACTTAGACAACGTGGGTTCATCTGACAAGATGGGAAGTCTTACGGTGAAGAGATGTAAGGTTAAAAACCCCAGCGCTCAGGAGGCTGAGGCAGGAGGATCCCCGTGAGTTCAAGGCCAGCCTGGGCTGCAGAGCAAGACCCTGTCTCAACAAAACAAAGAAACAACGCACACTGGGGAAATGGCCGTGGCTGAGCAGCACAGGACTGTGGTGACAGCCAAGACACTCAAAGGCCTGGCCCCTAGGACCCACTATGGCCTCCTCCTGCTTGTCCCCCGGGGATGCTGCCTCCTCCAGCTCCTGCTGGGGCTCCCATTCAGGCCTGGGAACCCGAGTCCACGCCCACGGAGCTGCCTCAGTCTTTCCAAGGGAAGCCCGCAAGCTGCTCCTCGTGTCCCCGCGACCAGGATCCCTTCGACCTTGCAGCAAAGCCTCGTGGCTGTGGACTCACCTCCTCCCGGGGCTGGGGGCTGGCAAGGCGCTCAGCTGAGCCCCGCGCCCCTGACCCTGGTTCTGTGGCCCCCAAAGCCCAACCGCACTTGTCCATCTGGGGAACATCCAGCCACTCAGCCGGCCGGCCACCCGTCCTCCGTCTGTCTGTCCACCCGGCTGACACCTCCCGTCAGCTGCTCCACTCCCTCCCCACCGGCAGCAGAGGCCGTGGTCCCTCAGCGCCTGCACACGGGCCTAGTGCTCTGCTCTCCTTACACAACGGATGCCCTCCCGGGCACGAAGCCCCGTCAGAGCAGGGCCAACGGCGCTGCAATAGATGCCGAGAGGCCTCTGGAGGCAGGAGGCAGGAAGGCAGCCCAGCACTGCCGGGCGTGCGCGCGGCTCGGCAGCTCCCAGCGCGGCCCGTCCACCCCAAGCCTTCTCGTTCCCCACGTTTCCCAAGTGATCCCGGAGTTTCCGTCACTCTGCAAGGTGAAAACCATGGCCCACAGCTGCAGTCTGTGCAGCCCCTGGAGAATGAAAGGAAGAACCTGGAAGTTAGGATGAGTTTCAGGACCCGGCCTGGGGTGCACACCTGTGAATGCAGCACTTGGGAGGCTGAGGCAGGAGGACCACTGGGGCTCGAGGTCAGCCTGCGCTACGTAGTTTCCATGTCGCCCAATCGTAATGCTCTAAATGGCAGAACCTTTGAGGATGCAGGGAATCTCCCGGCTGCAAGGGTCAGGGAGGGCAAGGGGACCCCAGCCGGCTCCTCCAGAGCAGAGCCCGGCTGCCATCACTCACCATCCAGCAGCCAGTGCTGGCCGCTCCGGAGCTCCAGCTCAGACACCATGAGCCGTGTGATCACGTGGTCAGGCACCAGCCGGCCCTTCTCCAGGTACTGCCTGGCCATGTCGCCAGCCTCTGCAGGGACAGAGAGGAGATGCTGAGCCGGGCTCCACGGCGGGCACGCTGGCCAGTTCTAAGCACCCCACCCAGGGCCGGGGAGACACCAGAGGCTCTGAGACACCTCGCTGCCACACAGCCAGACCCAGAAAAGGGAAAAAGACCCAGCACTCAGGAGGCTGAGGCAGGAGGATCTCCTGGAGTTTAAGGTCAGCTTGGGCTACACGATGAGTTCAAGGCCAGCCTGAACTGTGCACTGAGATCCTGTCTCGAAGAGGCAAAAAGAAAAAGGATACAAATAGCAAAGAAGTCAAATTATCTTTATTGGCAAGTGACAGAACATTATATTTAGAAGACCCTAAAGACTTCACCAAAAAGACTTAGAGCTGATAAACAAATTCAGCAAAGGAGCACAATACACATAATCTACTCCAACTGTGAGAAACACGTTTTCAATTTCTAGCCAGAGCGAGGAGTATAAAATGTAAGATGGGCTGCTAAATCGCGTATTTCAGACGGGGGCGGGGGGTGGGGAGCGCCAAGCTTCCAAACTGAAGACCCCACAGAAGCATCTCCCCAAAGCCACGCCTCCCAGGAAGACGCCGCCTCTTTCTTCCGTGAAAGCCGCCCGCCCCGCCCCGACACAGCACGGAGCTAGGAGCGGTGGCTGCACCGGGAGCCACCTGGGGGTTACGGCAAGACCACCTCAAAGGAAAGTCCTGTCAAGGGACGAGGACACCCACAGGTATGTGACATCCTGGAGAAGAGGCACGGTGATGCGCGCACACACACACACACACACGCACACCCCTCGGCTCTTGGGGAGCATGAAATTCTTTCTACAGCCACACTCCAGGAAAGGGGGGGGGTGCATGCCCATCATCCCAGCACCCGGAGGCCGAGGCAGGAGGATCCTGGCGGCCACCTGGACTACAGAGTAAGACCCTGTGTCAAAAAACCAAATGAGGCTGCTGTGCAAGCACAAGGACCCGAGTTCAATCCCCCGGTACCAAAAAAATCCCCCAAAAAGCAAAACAAAAAAACTCAAATTAATACATTAATTAACTTTAAAAAAGCAGCAGGCCTTCCCCAAAAAGCAGGCTGATGGTCTTTCTCGGCCAGCCCGGGAGACCCGGGGACACAGGCAGCTGACCGAGCAGATGGCTGTCACCGAGCAGGCGACAGAAGAGGCACTGGGCAGTGCTGTCAGCTTCCATCCACACTGGCCAGGCAGAAAGGCCACTGCCATGCTCTCTCTTGGATCCCAAGCCTGACCTCTTATCAGAAAGGACCCGTTCCTACAGGCAGCTGAGTGTGTCCCCCAGCCAACGTTCTTAACACCCACGAAAACTCGGGCGCCACTGCTTAAATCCAAAGATAAGACAGGGTGTTCTCTGGGAAGCGACCTGGGGCTCAGGATTAAGGAACTCACTTGCCATTTTCCAACTACTAACCCATGCTCGCCCCGAGTCGTGATGCCTGTTGGGACTGCCAAGACCCGGCTCTCTGTCCCCATCCCTGTCTGTCTGTCTGTCTCTCTCTCTCTCTCTCTTTTGAGGCAGGGTCTCACTATAATTCCAGGCTGGCCTTAAACTCACAGCAACCCTCCGGCCTCACCCCCTATTGCTGAGATCACAGGCCTGCGACACCACGCCTGGCTTCTCCCACTGTCTGCAGCAGCTCTGGACGTCTCTTGTGACTGTATTTATAAGGTGTGATCAAAAATATGGTGAGTCCTGCTGCCAAGCGCCATCCAGGAGAAAGGCCACTCGAAAAACCATGATGCTGTGTCCTCGTCCACCTTAGTCACCGGATCTGGCACTGTGTGACTTCCGGCTCTTCCCCAAAGTCAAAATGACCAGGAAAGGGAAGCGTTTTGAATGGGCTCAGGACACTGAGGCAGCCAGGACAGGGCAGCTAAAGACCCTCAGGAGAGACGGCTCTAGAGCTGCTGCAGCAAGCGGCCAGGACGGTGGGAGGAGTGTGTGGGAGAAGGGGAGGACTGGGAGGGACACTGGGCAAGGTGTCTTACTGCTTCTCCCTCCCACTTAGCCACCCTTAAACATCAGAGTGCTCTTTTCACGGCGAGGCCCACAGACTGAGTGTGAGCTGTGCGGTGTGAGACTCCCCCAATTGGTGTGCACTTCCGGGAGAGGCCCCCTCCCCAGAGGGGACCCACCCAGCTGCAGCAGCCCTAGCCCCCCAAGCTGGGGCGGCGAGAGGCTGGAAGAGCATCTCGAATCACAACTGTGCAGGAGACCTGGGATGCTCATCTTGGGAAGAAAAATGACAACTTGAGCTGACCAGGGGCTACCTGAAAACACTGCCCGCTGTCTGCAACGCGGATGGCAAGGCCCTGAGGACTGGAGGAGGGGAACTTCCAACACTCAGAGTTGGGAGAGCAGCCGGGATCCGCACAGCCGCCAGCTGGACAGAAAGTCCAGCCTGGCTTCCAACTCCAAGACAGCAAGAAACGGAATAATAATGACACTCAACACGCTGATTGTTATGCGTAATGTTCAGTACCCAAGCCCTGGAAAAGCACAAGAAAACCCAAAGCCACATGAAAAGGAAATCTCACACTTGGTCCACGCTGCAGACTTGATTTTTTAAAAAAACTCAGTGGAGTGAACGCAGGTCAGAAACTGTGCTTAGCCTTTTGGAAAAACTGATGCCATGCGATGGGACTCATAGCTACCACTTAAGGAAGCTGGGAACCTGGACACATACGCAACCCACACTTCGTAATTCCACAAATTACGCTGGCTTTGCTCAGCAAGAAGGGGGAGGAAGTGAAGAAACAGCTGAGTTAAAATCTAGCAAAACAAAAAGCCACGATTGGAGAGAGCCGCAGCTCAGCCCATGGAAGACCTCTAGAGAAACCTATCTGATCAAACAGGTAAACTCAGAGAACAGACCCACTCAGCAAGGACACAGTTTTAAAAAGCACACAGGTCCTGGTGCACACTCGGGAGGCTGAGACAGGAGGAACACTGCAAGTTTGAGGCCAGTCTGGGCTACATAGTGAGTCCCTGTTTCAAAAAAATCAACAAATGAATAAATACTAATACAATAAAAATAGCCCAATAAAAACCTTGTAAGAAATCAAGTGCATATCTTACTTTATAAAGTCTTTGAAAGCAGAGGCCATTTCTTACTCTTATTGACAGGCACTCTTGGAAAACACTGATTTCACAAGTCTCAAGTTAAACATCTACTGATTTTTCTGCTGATCCTGTAACACTTCTTAATTGTTACCCCTAGCTTTAGTTTAGAAACTTCCAGTTACCAATGACCTGGGTGATGTGTTCAAAATGGGAATCCACTGCCAGCCCCATGGTTAAAAACAGACTTTATGTGGAGTTAGGAAATGGTTTCCCAGCTAGGATCTCAAAAGCCTAAGGCACCAGGGGCCAAGGATTTAGCTCAGTGGTTCTGCTGCCTGCCTCACAAGCGCAAGGTCCCGAGTTCGATCCCTGGTACCAAAAAAAAAAAGCCTAAGGCACCAAAGAAAAAAACGGACCAGCTGGTTTCATCAAAATCAAACACTTGTGTTTCAAGCCGGGCATGGTGGTGCACACGGGAGGCTGAGGCAGGAGGATCGTCATGAGTTCAAGTTTGAACTACATAGCAAGACCCTATCTCAAAAAGACAGAAAAAAAGAAAAGCTAATATAAGCGTTGTGGACTAGAGCTAACAGGAGCACACTAATACACAGCCTGGGCCTGAAGCACATCCCAAAAATCACAAGGCGCAGGATCACCAGTTAGTATCACCCCAAAGCAAGTGCTGAGAGCCAGGACGCAGTGGACACCGGCTGCCTGGGAATGGGGTGAGCAGCAGCAGCAGCCTGGCCAAGGAGGAGGCCACACTGCCAGAGCTGCGGTCCCGGGACCCCAGGGCACGAGGAAAAACTGTTAAAGTGTAACATCCGCCGCCTGCATGGGTCAGACAAGTGAACCTTTGGTACCAAGTCTCAAAGGCCACGCTGACAGCAAACATCAAGGGCAGGGGTGAAGGGTGAACCCAAAAAGCGGCTTGAGAAACTTCGTCTGCTAAGGGAATGACACAGCCGGAGGAGCGGGCCATCGGGAAAGCACACGGTGGCCAAATTCAGCAGAAGAATGTAAGTCCAGCATGGACGGTACTCGGAATGACCGGTGAGGGTTCCCTCCGTGATTTACAGTACTCGGCCAGGCACTGTGGGAGGCTGAGGCAGGAGGATCGCAGGTTTGAGCCCAGCCTGGGAGACTTAGGGATTTAGCAAGACCCTGGCTCAAAGTAAAAAATAAAGAGGTGGCGGGATGGCTCAGCAAGGAGACCCTGGGTTCCATTCCCTGCACCACAGTAAAAATTTACTTAGCAGGTTTTAAAAGGATGAGCCAATTCCACATACCCTTCATACTGAATTTATACGAATTTCTAACCGACAGTTTGGAGCCCAGTAACCTGCTTCATAATCAGAGCACACCCTTGACTTACGAGCTCAGTCTGTTCCCGAGGGCTGGTTGTAACTCAGGTTGATCAGTGGAGGCTCAGGCTCCTGTACACAGCCTTCACAGTCTCTCTCCTACACACAGGCAGATCTCAGGGTCCTCGGAGAGACACTGGCCCGGGATTACTCAGTGAGCCCCACTCAGGAGAGGATGCTGTCAGGTTCCTTCCTGATTTAAGAGTTCAATCTGTATCTGAATGCAGCCGGCATTCAGGTTGTAAATCAAGACTTTGTTCATAAGTTAAAACTAAAATTCCGTCTTTATTCACATGTCAGGCCAGTCGTAACTCAAGAACCCACTGTACATAAATGAATCAATCCAAGCGAGCACTGGGTGCTGGAAGGGTCAAGGCTGGGGCCTGACAACCCCGCTGGGGCAGAACACGTGCCCAAGGCCCTGGCGCCGAGAAATAAATAAAAATTAAAGCCCCGGCCTGCTGAATTCAGGGAGGACGCGTCCCAGCATGCAGGCTCCTGCGGTCAGCAATCTCGGGCTGGACATCAGAGTGTGGCCGGGGGACCTCAGAGGCCGGGAGACTCCCCAGGGCCCACGAGCCCCACCCACGTGTCAGGGTGCAGCCAGCATGCCCACAGCCCCAGACTGGGGACCAGCAGGATCCCCAGCCTGCTTATCCAGACGCAAAGCGTGGGGCGATTAAGCAACGACAGGCCACTCGTAGCATGAAGTTTTACTTTGTTTTCTGCTGTTGTTGGTTTTTGAGGCAGTGTCTGGCTATGTAGCTCAAGCTGGCCTTGAATTCAGAGCAGAGCATCCTGCCTCAGCCTCCCAGTGCTGAGATCACAAGCCTGCGCCCAGCTTAGAGTGAGGAGCAGACCTGGCTGCGGTGCTGAGCTCCGGCTCTCATCGGCCCCTCTTCCAGCCCCCATGCTCAGAAACTGTCACTCTTCTGTGAGACACGCACCGGCACCTAATGAGCACCCAGCAGCGCCAGGCCGAGGTCATCTCTTCAGAGCAGCGCGGCCTCGTCTAACTGGACATGCAAGCAAAACCTTTCCCTGCTGCAAAACCAGCAAGGCCGCAGTTAGTATTATTAAGAGCAGAGGGCGGAGAAGCTGGGAATGGGCCCCTGGACAACGCATCTCTTCCTTGATTGTAGCCCTGCCGCTGCCTGAATGCTAGATTCGTTACTGAATAATGATGAAAAGGCATCCAAAACATTAAGTTACTTGTCCACCAGAGCAGTAGAAGATTCTTCACATCACCTTCCAGTGGCTCAATTCAGTCTTTGGAAAGGAGCAGAATGAGTGAAATACTGAAAACCAAAGCGAAGAAAACTTCATTTGGAACTGTCTGTCTCCTTGACTACTCCTCACTCCCTACTACTTTCTACTTGTAATTTTGCTGCATTTATAAATAGTGAAGACCAAAAAAATAGAACATATCTTTAGGAGCTATATACCAAGAAATTTACCTTGAAAGCTGCTATTCTCTAGAGGAAAAGTTTCAAGTTCCTGTCTGACCCTTTCTTTAAAGCAAGATTTCTTAGGTCCTTAGATTTTGAAGGTTAAGACAATCACATACACGTATCTGCACACTACTTTTAGCAGTTGTGTAAAAATAATGAGATTTGTGCTTTGAGGGCTTTGTCACGTGGCAGGTTTACCACTGGAGTTGACTGCTCCAAAGATTTTTGATTGTGTTTTGATATTATAGTTTTGAGCTGTCACCTTGATGACATTACTTATCTGCACATCAAGCAACCTGTCTAACTCCGACCTATTTATGAACAGTGTTTGCCCTCACTGTGCAAATGTCCGTGTATTACCTATTTAAGCAACATTATAGTGCTGTTACACAAGGAAGCTGAATGAGGTGAGCATGGAGATAGCTTTTTCCCTTACCCCTCTTTTTATTTTTTTGGTACTGGGGCTCAAACTCAGGTCCTTGTGCTTTCAAGGCAGGCGGCCGGAACCACTGCGCTAAATCCCCAGCCTTTACCCCTCTTTTTAAACGTAACAAATACTTTTGTTCCCCCTCCCCCTTCCCTCCCCCTCCCCCTCCCCCCTTTTGGAAAGGTGTCTGGGGCCAGGGAGTGGAAAACGAGCAGTTGAAGGGGCTAAGAAAGTGAGCCACAAGGAGCCGGGCTTCTCTGTGCTTCCGTTTAACAAGAAAAATCTCTCAGGAGGTCCAGCTGGCAACATCCAGGAGTCGGAAAACAGGCCCACAGAGGTTACACTCCGGGATCCTGGCCATGAGGCTGGATGCCTCGCCCTGCTGAAAAGAGACCCTGGCCCTAAATGACGCAGCATGACTTTGTTCCTGCTTGGCTAGCTTTCTCAACACCACAGTCCGCTAAGTCACCCACAACCACTTTTGAAAAACACGGAGACCACCCACCCTGAGAAGGTAGATTTGGAGTAAGCCATCAGGGACACACTTCCTCTGATGGCTTTTTTAACAATGGACCTTTACAAACTACAGGGGATTCCTGGCACCCACCCCCCCATTCCACCATGATTCTGAGGACTCTGGTGTCTCTAGGGGAACACACGCGAGAATCACAGGGAATTTATCTGGTTGGCACGGCTCTTCTCAGGGTCACGATGGCAGGAGCCTGCGTAGCGGAGGTGGCAGCTTCCACTCCCAGAAAGGCTATGCCTTTCAGGAAAAGCCACCTACAGAGGTTAGAGAAGAAGAAAAAAAGACAAGGTAGAAAAACTGCAGTTTGAAGAGGAAGACTTTCCTTCTCTGAATCCAGAAGCTGGCAAACACAGTCAGCCATACAGACCTACTGGGATCCCTTCCGGAGTGTGGGAAAACCCACCTAGTCCCAAGCAAGCTTACAAGATGCTAGTAATCAAAGAAGTTTCCAAAGGAGATCCTGCTGCTGCCTTCTCTGCTGCATTCACCTCACCAGGATCTCACCATGCAAACGGAATAAATCATCAACCATGGTTCCAAGTGTATAAGAACCTGGATCCTAAGTCTGCACCAGCTCCTTCCAAGCCCAATGCATGGAAAGCTAACAGAATGGAACACAAATCAGGATCCCTTTCCTCTAGCAGGGGGTCTGCTTTTACCAATCCACTCTGTTAGCACACCAGCGATACTGGCCGGTGGTGCAGTTCTAAGCTCTCCCAAGAGAGTCCCTCCAGCTGAGATCAGCAGAGACCCGCTGAACCACCGACAGAAGAGTGAGTTCCTGAAGACTGAAGGATGACCAGAATGGAGACTTCTCAGAGAACAGAGACGTCGGCATGCTGGAGGATTTGGAGGACCACAGCACACCCAAACCAAAGGAAAATGGGGAGGAAGGCTGTCTTCAGAACGGTCTCTCTCTCTCTCTGCATTGTGGAACAAGGGGAGGTCCCCTCACATTCTCTGGAAGCAGAGCACAGGTTATGGAAAGCAATGGGATGGCAGGAACATCCTGAAAATGATGAGATTGCCCTCCACTCACAGAGCATGAGCTCAAGGAGCTCCACGTGAAGACAGAGCAGCTGAGAAGAAACGCTGTGGAAAGAAGGGGTTCCGGCAGAGCTGCAGTTTGAGCTTCTTCTCCCCTTGGAGAAGCACTGGTAAAGCTGAGTTTGAGGATTCAGACACTGAAGCAAGTCGCAGGGAGACATCAGATGACGATGCCTGGAAGTAGGCACAGAAATGCTCACAGTTCATCTGAACCAGAAAACTCAGCTTGTGTGTTTCGGGAATATACAAAAGAAATTGTTTTCCTTTGCCTTTTCTTACGTTGGATACCTTCACGCACAAGGGAAATAATCATATCCCAGAGAGAGGGCAGTTGGCTTGCTGAGCTTCTGTTGTTGTCCTTTCCTGTCACCTGCTTAACAGAGATGTTTGTGTGGTGGGAAAGGTTTTTAAAATACACGTACAGAACATACGGGGCAATGCTCAGGTGGGAGCTGGCAGTGCAGAGATGGAGAGGAGCGGATGCTGGCCCGCAGCAGCAGCTTCTACTGCCAGCCCTCGGGGCACGCACCCCTGTGCTCAAGCAGTCACTGTCAATGACAAAGTGACTACTGAAGTTACAATTGTATTACATTGATGCTAATAAGTTGGATATTTTATTTTATTTTCAGCTGCTCGGGTAACTTAGCCCTTAACCAAACCTATGGTTTTTTGGGTTTTGTTTTCCTTTTTTGGGTACAGCTGTAAAATATCTGGATATAGGAAATGTGTTATTCTTGCAGCCTTGATATTCAGGGTGGATTGTAAAATATAAATTTTTGTGAGATTTCAAAGATTAAGATTAGGACTGGGGATTTAGCTCAGTGGTTTCGCCGCCTGCCTCGAAACTCAAGGACCTGAGTTCGATCCCCAGTACCAAAAAAAAAAAAGATTAAGATTATTTTGATAACATTATTTACAGATTTAAAAAGATGTGGTTATCACAAGTCTGTTGAGGGGGAGAAACTGCTGCATAAAATACCTAACTTGGATTAAGGATTCTGCATCATTAAAAAAAAAAAAGAGCAGAAACAGGTTTGTTCTTGAGTATCTCTCCTCAGAGCCAAGCCCAAGACATCTCCAAGTGGAAATTGGCCACACTGTTGTACCTGAGACAGGACCCCTGGGAGAACAGCTGAGCAAGGCTCCTGTCCAGCAGATTCCCATACCCTGCACATCTGCCCCAACCACAAAGCAGTCACTATCGGAATGTCTGTTGTGTTTTGAGGCAGGGTCTTGCTGTGTAGCCCAGGCTGGCATCAAAGTTAGGGCAATCCTCCTGCCTCAGCCTCCTGAGTGCTGGGATTACAGGCGTGCACCACCACGTCTGGTTTAAAACTTGTAATGGGCTGGAGGAGCAGGCCTGCAAGTCCAGGTGTTCATCACACACACACTCGCCTGTGTACACACACGCACACATGCACACAGAAAGAGGCTAACATCCCTTGTGACGGCGACCCACCCCCTACTGGCATGGGAGGACTGCTCCCTGCTACCGACTCAGCAGCCGGAAGAGTCGTGGGCCAAAGACCTGCAGAGGCAGGAGCTGAAAGGAGGCCTTCAACGATCCTTGGGCTCCAGCGCCCCAGGCAGCACGGAGCAAAGCCTGGATCCACCACAAGTGCAGACCGAGCTATAAGAAGGGATGTCCCGCAGGCTAACCTCTGGGGAGATGGAGATGTGACACACCTGTCACCCCAGCACTCAGGAGGCTGAGGCAGGAGGATGGAAAGCTCTAGGGCAGCCTGGGCTACAGAACAAGATCCTGTGTCCAAAACAAAAAAAACCGGGTCTGTGACACAGGCGGGGAGCCCAGCCTTGCCGAGCCCCTTCCCACCCCTTGCCCAGGTGGCAGGATGCCCATTTCAGAGCCCGGACAGAACACAGCAGACATCGGGAGAAGGGTGACCAGGGCACAGACACAGCTACCCTGCATCACAAGTGCAGGCAACAGCCTGAACATCCACAAGCTTTGGGCGCGGTGGCACACGCGTGTCTGCCGAGAGGCAGGAGGACCCAGAGTTCAAGCCCAGCCTAGGCATCTGCACAAGACCTTGTCTCAAAATAAAACAAAGGGCTTGGGACGCAGCTCAGGGCGAAGGCCCTGGTCCAGTCCCCAGTACAACTACAAAACCAAAAAGAAAGTGTGCGCGATGGAAGAGGCGGGTGAGTGCGGACACCACAGCGGCCTTTCCTGGAGGGCAGCTGGCGCCAGCAGCGGCGGGGGCGCACAGGGCGGGCCGGCTCAGCCAGGGCGCCCCCACCGGCAAGCGGCCGGCACGGAGCTGGCACGGGCAGTGCTGTGCGCCGGGCCGGCCGCGGCCCCCATGGCCGCACTTCTTCCTCTGGAGAGGAAAACAGCCGCGCTCCCGTATGCTTCTATTTCCCTTCTCTTGATAATCGACTGGGGGTCGGGGAGACACCTGACCCCCAGGAGACCAAGACCCTGTAACTTTCAAGTCACTCTGATCCCCGGGAAACAAGGTTGGGGACCAGGGGAGGAAGGCGGCAGGAAGCAGAGAAACTAAGATTCAGCACAGGCAAAGGTTTTAAAACGGGATGGAGGGCAACAGTGAGTGGAGTTTTCAGAGCCCTGAGCCCAGGCTCGAGCCGTTCCCAGCCGCCCCTCTTCCAACGAAAAGGGCCGGGGTCCGCGGGGAGCCCTGTCGCCCCGAGGGGAACGGGCACCCGCTCAGGGCTCCGCGCGGTCTCCGCCCCAGGCAGAGCCACACCCCAGGCCCTCAGGCTGCTCCAAGCACAGGGAGGAGCAAAGGCTGGTAGAAGGGGTCAAAGGGAAAACAGCCCACCCCAGGAGGATCAGCCAGGCACCTCCTCGCCGCTCCTCCCCGTAAACGGGGGTGCAGAGGTGGAAGGACAGGGGCGCGGAAATGGACGACCTAGGCCCCTGCTTCTCCACGCCAGCTGCGGGAGGCCCAGCCTGGGACCCACAGGCCTGCGATCCCAGCACTGGGAGGCTGAGGCAGGAGGATCGAAAGTTCAAGCCCAGCCTGGCCAACTGAAGCGATTTCAAAAATAAAAAGGGCGGAGGAGGTGGCTCCCCCAGAAGGCCCTGGGTCCAATCCCCAGTACCAAGGAGAACAAGTCTACACCCCAGGAAGGGACAGGGGTGGGAATATGGGGAAGGGTCAGAGTGTGATCAAAACACACGGAACACAGGGAGCACACGGCAGGCCCCCGCCCGGAGGAGGGTGGGGCCCCACCGTCCAGGGTGTAGGTCCGGGAGACAACACTCGCCTGGGCCAGCGCCCCGTTCCCAGTCCCGCCCCACTTGGCACGCGGCGGGGCGAGGTGAGCAGTGAGTCCGTGCGTGGGCCCCGAATCTGCATCGGCAGGGCCAAGGTGCACAAATAACGGGCAGCGGGGGGTGGGGTGGAGGCTGGGCTCAGTGGACGCTTCCAGGCGGGGGCGTGCGGGGGCGTCCAGCCTTTCCAGCCCGGAGTGCGGGGCCGCGCGCAGATCTGCGGAGGGCGCCCACTCCCACAGGTGGGCACGCGCCGGGACCGGGCGGGCGGCGGACGGGGCCCAGCCGGGGCGAGGGACCAGTGGGGGACTCTCCTCGCTCCTCGCGTCCCGCCCCGTCCCCACCCCACGGGCCTGCATGCGCCCTGGCACGTAGGACTCGGCGGGCGGGCGGGACTCGGCGCCACCGCCCGGCCACCGCCACCGCCACCCGCGCGCTCACCGGAGCCGGCGCGTAGGCTGTCGCGCAGGAAGCGGCCGCTGGACAGGTGCTGCAGGCCGAAGCTGTGCGCCACGCGCTGGCTCACGGTGCCCTTGCCCGAGCCGGGCGGCCCCAGCACCGCGGCGTGCAGCAGCCGGGAGGCCATGGCGGCGGGACCGGGCCGGGGCCGGGACGGAGAACTGGACGCAGCGGGCCGCCAACTCCGACCCAGCCGCCCCGCCCCGCCCCGCCCCGCCCACCAGGCGCTCCCCGCACGTGGGCCGCGCGCCGACCCCGCCCACGTCCCCGCCCCCGAGGACACCCCGCCCGCCGGCAGCCCAGGCGGGCGCTCTCCGAGCCGATCACACCGTGAACCTTGCCGGTCCCGGGCGGCGCCGCCTCCGCCTGCCTCGGCTGCTGCGCGAACTCGCGCCTTACGTAAGCGGGGCCCGGGCTCGGGGCGGAGGCGCCCCTCCCCTCTCCTCCCCTGCCGCCCGGTGGCCCCGCCCCTTCCCGCCTCCTCCACGTGCTCCCGGCCCCAGGCCGCGGGGCGCAGTGGCTGCAGCCAGGACGGGGCCACCGTGGAGGGGAGCTCGGCGCAGCCCCGGCGCGGGCGGAACCCTCCCTCCCTTCCTCCCTCCCTCGCACCCTGGCGGGTCCTCGTCGGACCCGTGTCCCCGTGTCCCGGAACCTCCCGGCCACGTTCAGGGCTGCGGGCAGAGGAGCAGCCGCGCCGTTTGACGGGGCCTGGAGCGCGCTCCTCGGCCCCCGCCGGGCTTCTTGAACCACGCGCCCCAGGCCTGAGTCCCAGAGCCCGGGAGGCCGAGGCAGGAGGACCGCTTGGGCCCAGCCCAGCCCGGGCGCCGCCACTGCGGCTGGGCTCCTCAAGGCGAGGCTCTCGGCGTCCCGGCCCGGTAGGTTTCCACAGGAAACCTGGCTGCTCGCCCGCACACTGCCCGAGCCGCGGCCCCACCTCGCGGGAGCTGGCTCTGCCGTCTGCCGCGGAAATGACCCTGCCGACGCCACCCCAGGGCGGCGCGGAGCGGTGCCAGCCACTCGCCCTCGGGCCTGCCTCAGCCGTTAAGGAAGCACAGGAAGTCTGACGCGACGCCGATCGACGCCCCAGGGAATCTAGCCGGGTCCCTGCATCGCCCCAGGCCCTTGGCCCAGCTGGCGGCTCAGAGGGCCCAGGCCCGCGTCAGCGTCGCTGCTGACCCCGCAGCCCAGGTCTCGGCAGCCCTCGCTGTTTCTGTAAAAACAATGTCGTTCCGCCCCGCAGACTCGTGGTGCGCTCGGCGCCGTGCTGAACGGACAGCATTTGGTTGTGCACATGGGGTCAGGTGTGGAGGGCCTTGCCTGTGACCCCAGCACTCGGGAGCCTGAGGCAGGAGGATCATCCCAAGTAGCAGGCCAGCCTGGGCTCCATAGCGAGACCCTATCTCAAAAACCAGCAGCTGCAGCAGCACTACTGACCGTGGGCCGGTTATTGGCCTCTGACTCAGCTCCTGAATTAGGAGGAATCAAGGACGTTAACAGCAGAGCAGCTGGTGGCCGGTGCTGGGAGGGCTTTCCCGCCGACCACGCCGGCCGCGTCTTTGCCTCTCCGGGTCCTCGCTGCCCGGTGGTCTCAGCACCGAGACTGGCGTGGTAGACGCACTCGCTCTTCCTGGCGGTCTCGCCTGCCGCACGGACTCGGTATTCCTGTACCTGGACCGTGGGCGCTTTGCCTGCAGGGTCAGGCGTGGCGCTGGCGCTGACCCCGACCCCGCTGGACTCTGCAGCCCCCCGCAACGCCACGGCTTCCACCCTTCCTCCCGCACCTCTCACGGCGGGCAGAGGAGTGGGGAGATTCACAGCCCAAGGCTTCGGGCTCGGGTCACCAGCCCTGAGGTCAGACCCAGTGCCCCACACCCAGACGTTCTCCGGACCGCAGTGCTCAGGGCTCCTGTTTTCTTAAATTCAGTTGTTTTACTCCACCTTTGAAATTTTCCCATAACCTCATTCCAGCTCGGCTCCTGCCTGCTTCTCCTACTTCTTTTTTCTTGTGTTGTTTTTTTTTTCCGGTACTGGGAATCGAACTCAGGACCGTGCACTTGCCGGGCAGCCGCAGCACCACTGAGCTACATCCCTGGCCCTTGTTATTTATTTTTGACTGTTTGTTTGGTACCGGGGATTGAACTGGGGACCATGCGCTTGTGAGGCAGGCAGCGGCACCACTGAGCTAAATCCCCAGCCCAAAAGTATCTTTTGGGTGGGGCGTCTATTTTTGACTTTTTGAGACTGTGTAGTCTAGGCTGGCCTTGAACTCACAGCGATCGTCCTGCCTCGGCCTCTCAAGTGCTGGGCCTTTGGGGGAGCACCGCTGCTCTGGACCTTCCTGTCTTGTGTACCTGGCCGGGCAGTGAACTGGCCACCTCTGCTGTGGGTCCCGCCTGAGGTGCAGTTTGTTGCACAGCCCGAAGCTCAGCCTATGGGTCCGGACCACGGGCCAGGCAGCCTCTTCTCTGTGCCCCACTGTAGGAAGCCACCACCTCCGGGGCCTGGCCTGAGGCTCAGGAGAAGCGCCCCAAAGCCGTGGGAAGACTGCGGAGGAGCGAGAGGTCGCCAGGCCTCTCCTCGGCCTTTGGGAGCCTTCGCTGCACACAGAAGAAATGCAGGACAGACGGTGCCCAGATTCGTCCTGTAAACCCTGCACTCAGGAGGCCGAGGCAGGAGGATCCGGAGTTTGAGGCCAGCTTGGACTGCATAGTGAGAATTTGCCTCAGAAACATCAAAAAATAAATAAATTTTTTTTAAAAACACCAAAATTTAGAAAGAAAATAATGGCCAAGAAGGGCCTCCCCCCCCCCGCCCCAGCCTCACTCCTCTGTCCCTGTAGGCCCTGAACAAACACTGAGGAGCCCGGGGCTCCATCCGCTGCAGAATCATCGGAGACGGGGCCTCCTGGCCCCCGCTCACCCTGCAGCCGCCCTGGACCGCAGCAAAGCTGCCGAGCAGTTACAGGGAGTGGGGAGGAGGGAAGCGCAGGCCATCTGTCCCCGCTGTGACCCACTTTCCCCCGCGCCTGGCAGACGCGTGGGCCCTGCCGAGAGCACCAGGTGTGGTCCCTCGCAGGGAGCCCACGCACGCAGCAGCAGCAGCAGCAGCGACCTGCTGGTCCCAGGCGTTGCCACCCGGTGACGGTGGCAGCACGGGGGCGATGGCCATCCACGTTGCGCTGGCAGCAAGATGCCGGCTAGAAGTGGCCTTGGGAGCAGGGGCACGTGGTCAGCTTGCCGTGGGGCCCGATTCCCTGACAGCCACCACTGAAAGGAAGAGAGGCTCGGCTTGGCTCTTGGGTCAGGAGGGTTCTGTCCCTGGCCAGCCGGCTCCAGGGCAGGAAGGGCAGGGTCTCTCCAAGTGCCCCAGGTGGGGTCACACTGCAGTCCGCCTGCCTCAGCCTCCCCAGTCACAAGTGTCTTCTTCCGTGCAAACTTAACGAGGGGACAGGTAGCTGCCAGGCGGGTGAGGGACAGGCACTGAGCACCACTGCGCCTGGTTTGCTTTGTTTCTTTTTTTTTTTTTTTTTTGGTACTGGGGATCGAACTCGGGACCTTGCGCTTGTGAGGCAGGTGCCGGAACCACTGAGCTAAATCCCCGGCCCCTCTTACTTTTTCTTCTTGAGACAGGATCTAGGATCTCACCAGGTTGCCCACACTAGTCCCAAACTCCTGGCCTCAGCCACAGCAGCTGATGTTACAGGCATCTGGGTTCCAGGTTAGTTTTTACAGCACGAAAGGGCCAAGGAAAAGAAAAACAAAAGTCTCTTTCTTTCTAAGATGGGGACAAGGAGAAGAAACGATAGGAAAATAACTGAGCAGTGACTTCCTTTGTGCAGGGATCAAAGGGGAGCCAAGCCTGGGAACTTCGCCTGCTTCCCCCACCCCCATTTCCCAGGAGGCAGATGGTAGCTGAGTTCAGCTTGGTGACCTGGAACTGTGCTTTGCATCAGTGACTCCATTTTGATTCTTGTCCTGGTCGGTAGGGGCCTGGTACAAAGGACCAGCTCAAACCAGGCGAGGTAGCTCATCTCATGCCTTTAATCCCAGCACTTGGAAGACTGAGTCAGGAGGATCCCTGTGAATTTGAGGCCCGCCTGAGCTACATAGCAAGACTCTGTCTTCTGTCTTAAAGTAAAAACCAAAACAACCAAAGGACCAGCCCCAGACAATGGCCTCCTACAACTCTTTATTCAACATTACTTATTTGTTATTAGTTATTGGGTTTTAATTTTAGGTTATATAAAATTTTAGCAAAAATAATCTTAGCCTTTTGACTACCACTGGGTAACTTGGATCCTTGCATTCAGTAATAATGGAATTTTCTCTTTTTTGAGACTGGGTCTGCTTATCTAGTTTGGCTGGCCTTGAAATCTCTTTGTATCCCAGGCTGGCCTCAAACTCTAGGCAATCCTCCTGCCTCAGCCTCTCGATGATCACAGGCATGTGCTACCACGCCCGGCCTTCTTCCAGTGCTTTCAATCTGTGCTTGGCTGAACCCAGGGTGCTGAGGGGTTGCAGGGCCGGGACCAGGGCATGAGCGGCTGCTGTCCTCTAGAAGTCACAGAGCAAAGTCCTCTGCCACGCTCATGTCGCTGACCACTCAGGTCTGCCTGCCGCTGACCAAATCTGTATAATTTCTTATAAAAGCCTCTGTTACTAAGATAAATTATAAATTTTAAGTTCACACGGGGCGTGGTGGTGCACACCAGTGATCTCAGCACTCAGGAGGCTGAGGCAGGAGGATCGCCACAAGTCTTAGGCCAGCCTGGGCTACATAGCAAGACCCTGCCTCCAAAAAGAACAAAGCTTGCTTAATAATTACCAGGCAGTTATCAAATTGTGCCTGTCACTTTTCCACTACGGGCATTTGTTTTTTTGTTTTTTTGTTTTGGTACCAGGGATCGAACTCAGGACCTTGTGCTTTCCAGGCAGGCACCAGAACCACTGAGCTAAATCCCTGGCCCCCACTATGGGCATTTTGATTAATCTGGTATGTTAAGAAAGGGTTGAATAGTAACGTATTAATTTTAAAATACCTGAGTTACAAAATTTTGGACTAAGCATTGCTTTATTGTGATGTGATTTAAATCTATTTTACTCAAAATGTTGGCGATGTTTTTGTTTTTTGGGTTTGGGGCGGTTTTATTTGGTTTTTGGTTTTCTGAGACAGGGTCTTGCTATGTAGTTC